TAAATTAGGTTAAATATTTAATATGCCACTTATTAATTCCAAATGGATGTGATATGTATTACTTTTAAGCTAAAACAACTGAATAATTTCCAATTACTATATTTCATGAATTATTAAATTTTAATTATGTAAATGTTCTGATTTTCCTTACTAAGCTTATAACTCATATATTAATTTAAAAGGTAACTCATTACTTTATCATTTTAATATCATATATACTTGATAATTGAAATACTTATTTCTATCTAATTCATATCTATATCTATATCTATATCTATATCTATATAAATATAAAAAGGTTTGGTATTTACCTGAAATAGTATATAAATTCCCGCCTAAAAATTTTAAAGTTACTAAACTTAGTAATATTTTTTGAAAATTTTCAAAAAATCCCACCTAAATGTAATTTTAAATTTAAATATTTATGGAATGAAAAGATCACAATCAGAAAATTTTTTATACATTCCGTCATATCTAAACTATCATATAATTTCTTGGATATTGTTTTAGGAATGTAATCTTGATTAAAAATAAGAACAACAAAGCCTCTAAATTATATTAACCCACTTAATCCTTGCTGTTCCACTTCTAACATTTCCCAACTTCCATCGCTCAGGACAATTTCCAATTAAATTGACCCTCCCAATTCCCATCGCTCAGACCACTGTCGCCACCAAGACGACGACGATGAATAATTCACATACCCTTCTCCACGAGGAATTCGTTAAGCCGGAGGCGACCCAGCCGAAGGGCCTGACGCAGGACGAGCTCCTGGCCCTCCCAATCGGACCCGCCAGCGCACCTCCGAGGAGCTCGATCGGAAAAAGCTCCACAGCAAATTCAGATCTTACAGCGTGGGGATCAGGGACGAGAAGCCCCGCCGCCATGGAAGCTCCATTCGCGAGGGCAGTCGGGAATTTGCTCCGTCTAGGGCTGACCAGACCGACAATTGGGCGATCAGTAAAAAATTGTCTTCGTCTGGATTTGGCGAGCCAAGGGAGAGGGGAGAAAGAGGGCTTCTTCACGGATTCTCAATCACGGGCAGATGAGTTCGACAATTGGGTGTCCAATAAGAGCTTTGGGCCCAAGGGTTCCCTCAAGGGTTTTTGGATTCCCCGATTTTCCATTAAAAAGCTTGAATCTTTTTCTTCTTGACTGATTTTGAAGGACTGTTTTGCTATGTTGATTATATATTCTACCAATTATTGAAGATAGTATATA